TGTTAACAGGTGTGCTATAGTGACTGACCAGTACAGACAGGTGTTGTCTTGACAGGAGGCTGGACTTGGGACAGGTGTTAACAGGTGTGCTATAGTGACCAGTACAGACAGGTGTTGTCTTGACAGGAGGCTGGAGTGGCTGGACTTGGGACAGGTATTAACAGGTGTGCTATAGTGACCAATACAGACAGGTGTTGTCTTGACAGGAGGCTGGAGTGGCTGGACTTGGGACAGGTGTTAACAGGTGTGCTATAGTGACCAGTACAGACAGGTGTTGTCTTGACAGGAGGCTGGAGTGGCTGGACTTGGGACAGGTGTTAACAGGTGTGCTATAGTGACCAGTACAGACAGGTGTTGTCTTGACAGGAGGCTGGAGTGGCTGGACTTGGGACAGGTGTTAACAGGTGTGCTCTAGTGACCAGTACAGACAGGTGTCGTCTTGACAGGAGGCTGGAGTGGCTGGACTTGGGACAGGTGTTAACAGGTGTGCTATAGTGACCAGTACAGACAGGTGTTGTCTTGACAGGAGGCTGGAGATGGGACAGGTGTTAACAGGTGTGCTATAGTGACCAGTACAGACGGGTGTTATCTTGACAGAAGGCTGTAGATGGGACAGGTGTTAACAGGTGTTCTATAGTGACCAGTACAGACAGGTGTTGTGTTGACAGAAGGCTGGAGATGGGACAGGTGTTAACAGGTGTGCTATAGTGACTGACCAGTACAGACAGGTGTTGTCTTGACAGGAGGCTGGACTTGGGACAGGTGTTAACAGGTGTGCTATAGTGACCAGTACAGACAGGTGTTGTCTTGACAGGAGGCTGGAGTGGCTGGACTTGGGACAGGTGTTAACAGGTGTGCTATAGTGACCAGTACAGACAGGTGTTGTCTTGACAGGAGGCTGGAGTGGCTGGACTTGGGACAGGTGTTAACAGGTGTGCTATAGTGACCAGTACAGACAGGTGTTGTCTTGACAGGAGGCTGGAGTGGCTGGACTTGGGACAGGTGTTAACAGGTGTGCTATAGTGACCAGTACAGACAGGTGTTGTCTTGACAGGAGGCTGGAGTGGCTGGACTTGGGACAGGTGTTAACAGGTGTGCTATAGTGACCAGTACAGACAGGTGTTGTCTTGACAGGAGGCTGGAGTGGCTGGACTTGGGACAGGTGTTAACAGGTGTGCTATAGTGACCAGTACAGACAGGTGTTGTCTTGACAGGAGGCTGGAGTGGCTGGACTTGGGACAGGTGCCGGTGTTGGCGGGCTCCGTCGTCACGCACATCAACAACTTCCTCAAGGACTACACCACCCAGTGGACCTCCGCCGACCCCGACCTCCAGCCCCAGGTGAGTCCCCGGGTGAGTCCCCAGTCCCAGGTGAGTCCCCGGGTGAGTCCCCAGTCCCAGGTGAGTCCCCGGGTGAGTCCCCAGTCCCAGGTGAGTCCCCGGGTGAGTCCCCAGTCCCAGGTGAGTCCCCAGTCCCAGGTGAGTCCCCAGTCCCAGGTGAGTCCCCAGTCCCAGGTGAGTCCCAGGGTGAGTCCCCAGTCCCAGGTGAGTCCCCGGGTGAGTCCCCAGTCCCAGGTGAGTCCCCAGTCCCAGGTGAGTCCCCAGCCCCAGGTGAGTCCCCAGCCCCAGGTGAGTCCCAGGGTGAATCCCCAGTCCCAGGTGAGTCCCAGGGTGAGTCCCCAGCCCCAGGTGAGTCCCAGGGTGAGTCCCCAGTCCCAGGTGAGTTCCAGGGTGAGTCCCCAGTCCCAGGGTGAGTCCTCAGCCCCAGGTGAGTCCCCAGTCCCAGGTGAGTCCCCGGGTGAGTCCCCAGTCCCAGGTAAGTCCCCGGGTGAGTCCCCAGTCCCAGGTGAGTCCCCAGCCCCAGGTGAGTCTCCAGGCGAGTCCCCAGCCTCAGGTGAGTCTCCAGGTGAGTCCCCAGTCCCAGGTGAGTCCCCAGCCCCAGGTGAGTCCCCAGACGAGTCCCCAGCCCCAGGTGAGTCTCCAGGCGAGTCCCCAGCCCCAGGTGAGTCCCCAGCCCCAGGTGAGTCCCCAGCCCATGGTGAGTCCCCTGGCCTCCTGCTAATCAGGTGAGCCCCCAGGCCTTCAGTCCCATTTGAGTCCCCCCCTGGGTCCTCTATAAGATGCTCACAGCGCTCCATGGGAGCTCAGAACACTAATATCTCACGGAACTCAATTTGAACGGAAACTCTATATATGTTTATAAGTACAGAGTATTAGTATATGTTTCATTGTACGGTGCATGGCAGAGAATGTAGTGGTAGTAGACATCCATCAGTCTCAGGAGACTATGGAGTTGCGCTCTGGTTGTCGGTCTGGAGTGGCCTCTCCAGGGCGCAAAGCCTGGGTAGGTTGATATGGAGGAGAAGCTGTTGCCCATGCAGCAGGTCCCCCCCTCTCCTCTCTCCACGGCTCCGAAAGTCTCCAGTGGGCAGATGAGAGTAGAGAATGTAATGCCACACCAATAAGTGTATGAGGAAATAGTGGAATGGTTGAGGAAACACATTACTATCTGTAGGCGCGAAGATGGACACCATCTTCGCGTGTGTGTGTGTGGGTGTGTGTGTGTGTGGGTGTGTGGGTGTGTGTGTGTGTGTGTGTGTGTGTGTGTGTGTGTGTGTGTGTGTGTGTGTGTGTGTGTGTGTGGAGGGATTTGAGTTTCTGTTTTCCAAGCAACATTATTGTGACATTCTCAGTGTTGTGTTGTGTTTGTACAGTCGTCGCTGGGGCGCCAGAGGAAGGTGGTCCAGCAGATCTGTGAGCGGCTGACGGAGGTGTGTAGCGGCGGACGCGGCGACCCCGACGCCGCCCGCCAGGTGGTGCAGGTGGTGACGGCGCTGGGACACGCCTTCACCAAGCTGGTCGACCTCATGCTCAGCCGCGAGATTACGGTGAGTGTCAAGGGCCAGCTGGCACTCCTGCCCTACAGATCACGGTGCCAAGGGCCAGCTGGCACTCCTACACGGCTGCCCTACAGATCACGGTGCTAAGGGCCAGCTGGCACTCCTACACGGCTGCCCTACAGATCATGGTGCCAAGGGCCAGCTGGCACTCCTGCCCTACAGATCACGGCATCAGGGTACAACTAAAATATGTGACAAGATAGCGTTATGTTATTCTATATAATATTGCATTACATTATTACAGTAATCAAGATCGCTCTCAGCTATGCGGTGACGTCATATCTCCCCCGCCCTCCCCCCCCCCCCCCCCGCCGTCACCATTAGATGTGGAAATATTTGCTGGTATTTGATTGGCTGAGACCCAACACTGATTGTGCTCGGAACCCCTGACGTATCTTCCGCTCCCCCGACGCTCAGAACCACTTCCAAGAGTCTGCCTTCCTGAGGCGTTCACGCTGGGCTGACCCAAGACGGAGAATTGAGGTATATTTGGAAGTGGGAGAGAGAGACAGGTCATCACTAAGTCAACATGACAGGACAACCATTACAGTAAGGAGAGTGCACCTCCTCGAGGGAGCAGTAGTGCCCCCAGGGGTGCAGGTCTTGTGAGACCATGTCGTGGTGTAGTGGTCTAGAGTGTGCTGCTGGGAGTGCACGTTCTATGCCAGCGCATTAGGTTCGAATCCTCTTTACGGCTCCTGTGGATTTTCACAATAATAATAATATTTCTATTGTTAACCACTTATCTTTAAGAAGAGCGTTGAATAATAATGTGAAAACATAGCGCGAGTTTAGCCTTATGTTCTTACAATTTTGTGGGTTTTTATTTATGATTTTAATTCTCGGCAAAACACATCTGAGGTCAGATTCACGAAGCAGTTACGCAAGCACTTACGAACCTGTCCATCTTTTCTCAATCTTTGGCGGCTTTGTTTACAATTATTAAACAGTTAATGAGCTCCGAAGCCCCAGGAGGCTGTTTATAACAATAACAACAGTTGATTGGCAAGTTTTCATGCTTGTAAACTGTTTAATAAATGTAACCAAAGCCGCCAAAGATTGAGGAAAGATGGACAGGGGCCAGATTCACGAAGCAGTTACGCAAACACTTACGAACCTGTACATCTTTTCTCAATCTTTGACGGCTTTGTTTCCAATTATTAAACAGTTAATGAGCTCCGAAGCACCAGGAGGCTGTTTATAACAATAACAACAGTTGATTGGCAAGTTTTCATGCTTGTAAACTGTTTAATAAATGTAACCAAAGCCGTCAAAGATTGAGGAAAGATGTACACGTTCGTAAGTGCTTGCGTAAGTGCTTTCGTGAATCTGGCCCCAGGTTCCTAAGTACTTGCGTAACTGCTTCGTGAATCTGGCCCCCTGGACGGTAGAGCAACGGTCTCGCTTCTTGCAGGTCGGCGTTCAATCCCCGACCGTCCAAGTGGTTGGGCACCATTGCTTTCCACCCCGTCCCATCCCAAATCCTGATCCCTTCCCAGTGCTATATAGTCATAATGACTTGGCGTTTTCCCCTGATAGTTCCCGTCCCTTGGTTAGTATAAGAGGACAACGATGCACAGAGTCGTCTTCACCATTTGGTCACCACTTGGTCCGGGAGACATCTCCCGTCACGCAGGGTGCAGTTGCGCCTCCACAGATCTCCAGTATCAGCTCTTGATACTGGTAATGGCTCGAAAGGGCCACCACTTACGGGCTATTCATGCCCGTGCCACCTCTTGGGTGGCTTAATCTTCATCAATCATCAATCTACTCATCCACGGGAGACATTTCCCGTCACGCAGGGTGCAGCCGCACCTCCACAGATCTCCAGTATCATCTATTGATACTGGAAATGGCTCAAAAGGGCCACCACTTATGGGCTATTCATGCCCGTGCCACCTTTTGGATGGCTTAATCGTCATCTTGGACACATTCATGGGAGACATCTCCCGTCACGCAGAGTGCACTTGCACCTCCACAGATCTCCAGTATCAGCTCTTGATACTGGTGATGGCTCAAAAGGGCCACCACTTACGGGCTATTCATGCCCGTGCCACCTTTTGGGTGGCTTAATCTTCTCTCTCTCTCAGAGTCGTCTTACGGGCTCACCATAGCCCGTGCTACTTGCCCCGCTCCTGTGCCAGGTAAGTTACGGGCTCACCATAGCCCGTGCTACTTGGAACTTGTTCCGAGTACCTAAATCTATAACAACAACAGAGTCGTCAGAGTAACCTCCTGCCGTGAATCCTGCAGGTGGTGGTACGCTCCCTGGAGGAGGCGGGAAGCAGCAGCAGCAGCAGCGCCGCGGTGCTGACGGTGGTGGCGCAGCTGACGGCGCTGGGGGTGGACGGAGGCCACAGCTGCCGTCTCATAGCCCGTCTGGGCGGCGTCCGCTGCCTGCTGGGGATCTGTCTGGAGCCTCGGCTGCGTCAGTGTCGCGTCGACGCCCTCCGCGCCCTGGCCACCGTCTGCTGCGTCCTGGAAGGCGTCACCGAACTCGAGAAGGTAAGAAAGAGACTTGACTGGCGTTCCGACGTGTTGTAAACACCGCAAGGGGAAGTTAGCGATAACCTGTGTTTAGCTTCGCTTACGAGGCGAATGATAAGCTGTCATTCCTGGTCATCAGAGCTCTGTATTTGCTGTGATTGTCTCTCAGGCTGGCGCTGTGCCTCTTCATCACTCATGTTGTATGTGTCTCAGGCTGGCGCTGTGCCTCTTCATCACCAAGTATGTTGTATGTGTCTCAGGCTGGCGCTGTGCCTCTTCATCACCCAGTATGTTGTATGTGTCTCAGGCTGGCGCTGTGCCTCTTCATCACCCAGTATGTTGTATGTGCCTCAGGCTGGCGCTGTGCCTCTTCATCACTCAGTATGTTGTATGTGTCTCAGGTTGGCGCTGTGCCTCATCATCATCCAGTATGTTGTATGTGTCTCAGGCTGACGCTGTGCCTCTTCATCACCCAGTATGTTGTATGTGTCTCAGACTGGCGCTGTGCCTCTTCATTACCCAGTATGTTGTATGTGTCTCAGGCTGGCGCTGTGCCTCATCATCACCCAGTATGTTGTATGTGTCTCAGGCTGGCGCTGTGCCTCATCATCATCCAGTATGTTGTATGTGTCTCAGGCTGGCGCTGTGCCTCTTCATCACTCATGTTGTATGTGTCTCAGGCTGGCGCTGTGCCTCTTCATCACCCAGTATGTTGTATGTGTCTCAGGCTGGCGCTGTGCCTCTTCATCACCCAGTATGTTGTATGTGTCTCAGGCTGGCGGCGTGGAGGTGGTGGCGGAGGTGCTGTGTGACGAGGAAGGTCCAGAGGAGGAGCGCAGCGAGGCGGCCGGGGTGCTGGCGCAGATCACCTCGCCCTGGGTGGAGAACGCCCACCGCCTCGCCGCCCTCCACACCCACATGGGCGCCATCGTCGCCGCCCTGACAGGTAAACCCTTAAAACACTCTCCCCATCTCCCCCACAACTAATCTAAACCGTTAATGGCTCCCGTAATGACATAATTAAGCCACATACGAGAACATGACCCAACTGGCGAATTAACGAAGCTGTTTAGTACTTTTTTTGCACCATAACGAGATCCCTCGTTGCAAAACCTGTATGCAAAAGGTGAAGGATTCCTTGTTTAGCACAGCTAAAGTTCCGCTATCAGCTTCTATCGTTTGCTAAAAAAAATAAGCATGTAGAATATTAGCATTTTCATTCATTTGAATTTTTAATTTTAACTCGCAAACTTGTGAATAATGAGTGAGTTAAATTGTTAATTTTCTTTTCCTTAGGTACTTAACATAAGTAACATAACATAAGATTTTATTTTATATTACTTTATTTTTATTTTCATGTACGCATTATGTAATAATAATAATAATTATTATTTAAACCTGTTTATAATTTAATTGGTGCTTATTAAACATTTGATAAGTAGTGATGATGGCATCTCATTTTGGCCGGCGACGAGGCACGCGATCTCTAAGCGCCGTGTCAGCCGTTCCTGCCCCCCCCCCCCTTGGCTGATGTACAACCCGTTCTCATAATAGAACGTCGCCTTTTGACGTATATATATACTCTACCTGAGGCTAAAAATTGTCGTACTAGAAAATGGTAGCGGCTCGCGAAATTGACATTACTGTCCCGTTTTCTGTTTTGGGTCCTCTGGTAGGGTTAGGATAAGGGGGCATTTTAGTACGACAGTTTCTCGACGTTTCTCTGTTCACGCTAAATAACCTATGTATTAATTTTATAGATACCCCTGAGTATTTTGTATGTCTGGATCATAGCCCTCTATGCTTTCTTTTGGCGTAACTTGGTTTAACTCTCTTGGTCTATCCCTGTAGCATGGTCCCCTCAATTCTGAGACTATTCTTGTAAAAAAAACTTTTTATTTTTTAATCTTTATTTTGTGAGGTGGAGATCCATGCTGGTACTACACATTAGGCTCTGGCGACAGGAAGGAGACGCTTGGGCAATGTTTCTTTCCACCTGATGTTTCTGTTCACCATTTGTTTTTAATTAACACATTAGGTACATCTAGATTTGTGCAGCTACCCTAGACTATATGAAGGGGAGTACAGTGTGTCAAGAACTAGCTACGTGATTCTAAAAATCCCCATCACACAGGATGATTAGTCACACAGGGTCATGGGATCAGTAGTCTACACTGGCAGACTCTGGCTGCATTATGAGGATATCTTCAAGAGCACGAGAGATAATAAAGTAATTGCAAAGCTCCAGGTACCTCATGCCGGGGGGGGGGGTGTGACGGGGTCTATAATGACTGGACAGTCACCTAGCAGTAAACAGGCAGCCGAGAGTAGGTCAGTTGTTACGGGTTGTGTCGAATTAAATTAAATTTCTTTCTTTATTATGCACCCCATACCCATCCCGTGGGCCTACGGAACGTCAGACGCTGACCTAGGAAAACGTAGGAGGGGGGGGGGGCATAGGCCTGATAGGCTGATTGTGCATGACAGAGCGAAACAAAACCATACTGTTCTAAAAACGTCATTGTCTAGGATTCTGACTTTTTTTTTTTTTTTTTTTTGAGAGAGAGAGAGAGAGAGAGAGAGAGAGAGAGAGAGAGAGAGAGAGAGCGAGCTGTCAGCTCCGTCAGTCATTGGAATATTAATTATGATGCTGACTCGGGACGCTGACCCGGTATCCAAGGGAACCCAGCTAATTATAATTGATCTTCCTTGTATGAGGAAAGATTTTGCAGTGGCATTGTAGGCCTTGGCGTGATCTGTCGACTGCGGCAATATTGAGTCTGAGCTCAATCGTTCTGGGCCTCGGCTGAGCTCAATCGTTCTGAGCCTCGGCTGAGCTCAATCGTTCTGGGCCTCGGTGTACCTTACAAGCTGAGGAGGAGGGGGGGGGGGGGGTTTTAGATTTAGCTACTCAAAACGAAATGTCCATGTAGCACGGGCTATGGTGAGCCCGTGGGGGGAAGGGGAGTTATTCCACGTACTTGATGGGCCTCTGGAGGTTGAGGTGCCTCTTGTGGCTGGGTGCACCTTGGAGGTGTTAGGTGCACCTTGGAGGTGTTAGGTGCACCTTGGAGGTGTTAGGTGCACCTTGGAGGTGTTAGGTGCACCTTGGAGGTGTTAGGTGCACCTTGGAGGTGTTAGGTGCACCTTGGAGGTGTTAGGTGCACCAGAGTTTTATTTTATCTGTTTCAGTTTACTTTTGTGGGGTCAGGATTACTGCTGGCGGTTTGTTCTGCTTTATCGGGGTTTGTTTGACTTTTTTACGGTTTACTGCTCTTTAAGACTGGTTTACTTTCAGGATTTTAGTTTTGGTCTACTTTTTGGTATAGATTTTTACTTTAGCGTTGGGGTAAACCTGTGAGATACGAGGCATCACTGAGGCCATGAGACTGAATGTAAACCAGTTGTTCATCCCTTGAGACCGTCGATCATCAACAGATCTGGCGGAGTTTACCCGGACGCCGGAGACCTTCCTGCTGGCGTCGGCGGCGCTGGCCAACCTGACCTTCCTCGGGGAGGAGTGTGTGGAGGTGATGAGGTCGGCCGGCACCGTCCGGGTCCTGCTGAAGGCCGCTGAGGACAACCCCAGCATCTCCATCTTCACCAAGGACCAGGTGAGAGGGGCGCCACCCATGTAGGTTATCTTGAGATGATTTCGGGGCTTTTAGTGTCCCCGCGGCCCGGTCCTCGACCAGGCCTCCACCCCCAGGAAGCAGCCCGTGACAGCTGACTAACACCCAGGTACCTATTTTACTGCTAGGTAACAGGGGCATAGGGTGAAAGAAACTCTGCCCATTGTTTCTCGCCGGCGCCTGGGATCGACCCCAGGACCACATGATCACAAGTCCAGCGTGCTGTCCGCTCGGCCGGCCGGCTCCCTACAGTAGGCTCAGGAACCTGTACTTTAGTTGATTGACAGATGAGAGGCGGGACCAAAGAGCCAGAGCTCAACCCCCGAAAGCACAACTAGGTAAATACGACATCTCCACAGTTCCAGAAGATCTTCCAGCCACTTGGACTGGGCGGTAAAGCGACCGCCTCGGGTTCTTGCAAGTCTGCGTTCGATTCCCCGATGGTCCAGGTGGTTGGTCAAGTGTTCTTTCACTCCCAAGTACCAATATCCTGTCCTCATATGCCTTCCATGTGTTATATATAGTCATGTTGGATTAGAACTTTCTCCTCATAATTTTCTTTTCCACGCCATCAGAGGCATTTGTTGATATTGCAAACGTTCCCATTAACGGGATTTAGTACCAGTAATCACCTCGATATTAAAACGGGTCGAATAAAACGGCAATCTCCCGTATAATGAGGTCATTTGACCAGTGTGAGACGGGAGACATCTCCACAGATCTCCAGTATCAGCTCTTGATACTGGTAATGGCTCAAAAGGGCCACCACCACTTACGGGCTATTCATGCCCGTGCCACCTTTTGGGTGGCTTAATCTTCATCAATGGTGCTACATAGCCTTCCCGGTTTGGTGCCTTCTATTGATAATTACTTACTTAATCTTCATCAATCAATCATTCTCAGCGTGAGTTTCCTGTCCGGCAGATCGCGACGGTGTTGGCCAACCTGGCGGGATGGCGGGAAGCAGCAGAGGAGGTGGTGGTGGGCGGGGGCGTGGCCCTCCTGCTGGCCCTCCTCCACACCCGCCCCGCCCCCACCCACCGCCTCCCGGAGGTGGCCACGGCAGAGAGGATACAACAGAAGTCCGCTATCGCTCTCTCCAGGTATGACACACACAGATATCCTGACACTTCAGGTGTGACACCCCCAGATATCCTGACACTTCAGGTATGACACTCCCAGATATCCTGACATTCAGGTGTGACACACCCAGACATCCTGACAATGCAGGTGTGACACCCCCAGATATCCTGACACTTTCCAGGTGTGACATCCCTAGATATCCTAACACTCCAGGTATGACTTCCCCAGATATCCTGACACTCCAGGTATGACTTCCCCAGATATCCTGACACTCCAGGTATGACTTCCCCAGATATCCTGACACTCCAGGTATGACTTCCCCAGATATCCTGACACTCCAGGTATGACACCCTCAGGATATTATGAACATGTTCAGTATTGTAGTAAGTCGCAAATGTTCAAAATATATCAGAACAACTCCGTGGCTTCGCTGAATATTTCAATGGGTGTGAAATAATCTATGATACAAGATGTAAATCCTATTACCTACGCCTCAGGATATAGGCTGACGGCGGCGGTGGCGACTGTGATCCCTCAAGTTGTTGGTGCCTCCGTCAGGTTGTGTCGGGAGGCGAGTGTGGCGCAGCAGGTGGTGGAGCTGGGCGGGGCGGCGCGGCTGGTGAGACTGTGTAAGGACGAAGAGGAACGGAACCACAGCGACGCCGTCCTCGTTGCCTGCCTGGTGAGGGATTTCACTCTCTTCCTTTCTTCCCTCCTTGGGAGCCCCATCCCTCCTTCCCTCTCACGAGTCTTCCCTCCCTTTCTCTCTTCCTTTCTCCCTCACCTCTCTCTCTCTCTCTCTCTCTCTCTCTCTCTCTCTCTCTCTCTCTCTCTCTCTCTCTCTCTCTCTCTCTCTCTCTCTCTCTCTCTCTCTCTCTCTCTCTCTCTCTCTCTCTTTCTCTCTCTCTCTATTTCTCTCTCTCTCGTTCAAGTAATCTATTGTTTGCATATCATCTTCTGTATTAAACGTCAGCCTGTTTCGTGGCCAAAAGTTAACTTAACACTTCTTTTAAGTGTAGATGTATGTGTAAAGTGATAATATTATCTGTTATATTACCTTGCAACAAAAATATACAGTGGCAGCTGTTGTATTATGCAGATGTATTTAACAACTTGTATCGTGTGGGTTCCTTAGGCGGCCCTGCGGAAGATTGCGTCGTCGCTGGGGTCTGAGGAGCTGCGAGGAATGGACGCCGCCGAGCTGGTCGAGCCCCGCCTTCTAGACTCCTTCCTCATCTACTCCTCCCGACAGGAGAGTTTCGTCTAGCGGCGTCGGGAGTTCTATCTAGCGACGTCGGAAGTTTCGTCAAGCGGCGTCGGGAGTTCCGTCTGGTGCCTCCTGACCGTGGTCGGGGGTTCGGGGGGGAGGGGTCGGCTACCTGAGATGATCGAGTCTAAAATGGAGGGGTTTAAATCTCTTTGTCCATAAAAACGGATTGTTGTATGAAGTCACTTCCATAAATTCCTCAAGCATCACAACCCTCTTTTTTTTTTACAGATCTTCGTGAAGTCTTCGAATACTTGTTTAAGTCCACCGTAAAAGCACTTCAAGTCTTCCTTTTTTATATAATTTTTTTAGATATAAACTGATAAAAAAATATACAAAAAAGATGAATATCACAGCAGTATTTCTGTACAATTCTAATTTTCTTCATATAATAACTCGGTTTTCTTTGAAAATAAAGGAACATCATATATACGTAGTTATCGTATATTTGATTTGTTTTTTGAGGGCAGACAAAGTTAATTTATCTTAAATATTGTGTAAAAAATCATGCTGGGACTCGAACTGTAACTAAGGGTTCCTGCGGACACCTTGTCTTATCCTGGGAGATAAACACACAGGTCAGTCCTCACGGGTCTTGCTGGTTCGTAAATTACATTATTAAAATTTGGGTGCCAGTTATATATGATATAGGTGCTATAGGCACAATGAGAGAGAGAGAGAGAGAGCACTGCATGAACATTAGAGGACTTCAATCTACTCTTAGTATATATATATATATATATATATATATATATATATATATATATATATATATATATATATATATATATATATATATATATATATATATATATATATAATTATAACTTGGTAACCTCTTTAAACTAAATTCTTATTTTAGATTTATATAGTAACAATAATTTATAAAATATGCTAATGTTAATGACTACATTTTGTATCCAAGATCTTGCACTAGAAGTGCTTAACAAAGTCTATGTTAACTAATGTATAAAATCATACCTAAAATACATATGCTAAACTGTACTTTATTAATAAAGTGCTTCTCTAGGTGCATCCCAGAAGCCTAGTCAAAACATTATACCAAAAAAAATGCCTATAATAAGGATTTTTGTACAGTATTATATTTTTCGAATAAAAATCTTTCGTTTATGCGTTATCTTTAATACACCCCATTTTTTGTTTTTTTTTAAGGTGGTGTTAGTATCGTAAGTGTTATCATGATTATGTCAATTTAAGGCGATGTTAGTACGAGATATCGTAATGTTCTCACGACTAAGACTTTTGAAGTGTTGGTGAAAGACATCACAATTGCCTGGTGTTGCTCCACCACCACAGAGGTCCACAGAGATCCATGGAAATGGCAGTAATGAACACCCGGATCATCCACACACACTAAACAACCCATTTGTCACTCCCCATGATATCAAAAGACAACACTAGAGCCTAGTCAAGCCTAATACCACGATGTCCGCAGGCCATTTGATTCACCCCGAGACGAACCTCCATAATGTGTATATATATATATCCACTCAATCTTACTTTAGTTCAGTGCAAAAGTTTACAAAACTGGTTGGGCAGTTAAAGCTGTTGTATGATCCTTACCCCGTCCACAACCCCCCCCCCCCCTACCCTTCCCGCCTGCCCATGGCGGTTCACTCAAGCCTTGATCGTTACCTCACTCAGAGACGCTGCTCCCGAGTGCACGGTCGAGTGAACGGCGTTCCGGTAAGTGCTTTTTTATGTTAACGTTCATCTTTCAGCGTTTGTACTGTTTCTTATTATTGTTATTTGGATTTTTTTTTTAAATTTGAGAATTAAATCAATGTATATATATATATATATATATATATATATATATATATATATATATTATTGTTCTACTCAATATGTGGCCATAGCAATAGTGGAGTAATATAATATATGCAGATGAAGAGTCACAGTAACGTGGCTAAAAAAATGTTGACCAGACCACACTAGAAATTGAAGAGACGACGACGTTTCGGTCCGTCCTGGACCATTATCAAGTCGATACCGTTAGGAAAATGTCATGTAGTATACAGCATGTGACTGGGGTTATAAGGTAGACTAAGATAAGAACATTAGAGAGGGTTACCTTGAGGTGCTTCCGGGGCTTAGCGTCCCCGCGGCCCGGTCGTCGACCAGGCCTCCTGGTTGCCGGACTGATCAACCAGGCTGTTGGACGCGGCTGCTCGCAGCCTGACGTACGAGTCACAGCCTGGTTGCTCAGGTATCCTTTGGAGGTGCTTATCCAACCTCCAGGTTTAAACCTAATGTATAAGGGGGGTTTAAATGTATTAGGGAGTTTAAACCTAATGTATAAGGCCTAATATGAGAATTTGAAGTATGGGAAGCATGATGTATAGTCAACAAGCGCCACCACACTCCAGCAGTCATCCACAGCAGTAAACCACCGCTTCATAAGACCAGGGTCCAGATTAACGAAACAGTTACGCAAGTACTTACGAACATGTACATCTTTCCCCAATTTTTGCCGGCTTTGGTTACATTTATTAAACAGTTTATAAGCATGAAAACTTGCCAATCAACTGTTGTTATTGTTAAAAACAGCTTCCTGATGCTTCGGAGCTCATTAACTTTTAATAATTGTAAACAAAGCCTCCAAAAGATTGAGAAACGATGTACAGATTCGTAACTGCTTCGTGAATCTGGCTCCACGTACACAGCGCTCCACGAAAATTGTCGTACTCATTACTTACCAACGCATCTCTTTCTCGCCTCAAGACCCGCTTCCACTCGACCTTGTCCTCGAAATTTGATCACACATAAGCAAGGAAGTTCTTTAGCAAGGACGGGAGAGTTAGAGAAGTTCTTTAGCGAGTCTGGTAGACGGGAGAGTTAGAGAAAAACAAAGGAGAATATTAAATGGTGATGAGATTAGTAATAGAGTGCCTAATGCCTAATGTTTAGTGCCTAATGAGTAGCGGTGACGAAAGAGGTGCTAATGGGAACGTGACTATACTTAATGGTGTGAGGAGAGTGCAAGAGTGTATGACGGCTGATTGATCCATGGAAGAGGTGAGTACAGCACTGAAGTTGAAACGTGAGGAGCTGCAGGGACATATAGCAAAATATAATTAAATGTTGTAAAGACAAATGAACGGAGTGGGTGGGGGGGGAATATGACTGAGGACTACAAGTAGAGTAGTGACCATACCACTGTATACAAAGACCATCGCGTGTGTAAGAATATTACACACAGAGATCACACTAACGTGATGCATCAAATGAACAAATCCACAAGGGCCGTGACGAGGATTCGAACCTGCGTCAGGGAGCATCCCAGACACTGCCTTAATCGACTGAGCTACGACAGGGTAAAAATCCTGGTTTGTGCCTCGGAGAGGCTACGGGATCCAGTAAGTTCAGTAGAACTTCGGTTTCAACTCTTTTTACCCTGTCGTAGCTCAGTCGATTAAGGCAGTGTCTGGGATGCTCCCGGACGCAGGCTCGAATCCTCGTCACGGCCCTTGTGGATTTGTAAGAATATTGTGTTGGTGTCGAGAACAGCGTGTGCGACAGAATATTGATCGCAAGAGTACAGGAAATAACTTGAGAGATTGATCACTGATGAACAAGCCGAGTTTCGTTGTGGAAGAACGTGTTGACAGATCGCATATTTACACTGACAAAGCTTACTGCAGTGGCAAGTGAGAAACACTGAAAGGTGCTTAGCATTTATAAACTCCGGGGAAAACCATGTGATATAGTTAATAGAGAAGAACTTTAGAGACTGATCAACATTTATGCAGTTGTTTCGACGCACGAAGCAGTTCATGTATAAGAATTAATGACAATGATTCACTTGTTAGATATTAACACAGGTGTACGTTAGCGTTGGGTGACGTCACTGGTCATTGAATGCATCCAGACCCTGGCTGAGGTCATGAGGTAGACTAAGACAAGGTTAGAGAGCTGTGTAAACCTCGTGTATACGAGGCCTAACGTGAGAAGCTTGATGTATGTAAACCAAAAACAGTCTCTTCATCACAGAGTGAAATAGAACCTAGTAAAGAAGTTTAAGAGTGCATTGATACCTGGTTGATGGGGTTCTGGGAGTTGTTCTACTCCCCAAGCCCGGCCCGAGGCCAGGCTTGACTTGTGAGAGTTTGGTCCACCAGGCTGTTGCTTGGAGTGGCCCCGCAGGCCCACTTACCCACCACAGCCCGGCTGAAACGGAACTTCTCTTAGAAAACAGTCCAGTTTTCTCTTGAAGATGTCCACGGTTGTTCCGGCAATATTTCTTATAGTCGCTGGGAGGACGTTGAACAACCGCGGACATTGAGGTGTGGGAGAGAAGACTGTTGAAAGTGAATGTGAACAATAGTAAAGCAAAAGTGATAAAGGAGGAATATTTTATGTGTGTGTGAAATAAACGTGAATTACCGGAGATGGAAGGAAGTGCTGGAAGTGACAAGATCACATCATATACTTGAGATGAACAGTTCATAGAAGATGAACTTAAGAGTGGCTAGGGTTATCTTGAGATGATTTCGGGGCTTTTTAGTGTCCCCGCGGCCCAGTCCTCGACCAGGCCTCCACCCCCAGGAAGCAGCCCGTGACAGCTGACTAACACCCAGGTACCTATTTTACTGCTAGGTAACAGGGGTATAGGGTGAAAGAAACTCTGCCCATTGTTTCTCGCCGGCGCCTGGGATTATATCAGGGGAGTCATGTCAGGGGAGGAGAGGAAACTGGTGCAATGATGACAGAGTTGGGGTTAAGCAGCTGCAGTCAGAGGCCCGTATGAAGATGCTGTTTCCTCTCGTGTACTGATGCGTCGCGACGGTGTGGTATGAATGTGGTATGAAATAAAGAGCGCAGGAGGAATGGGATAACGGCGGGAGGCATGTGTGGAAAGTTAGATTGAATAGGGAAATGAACAAGTACTTGGGGAGATGAAAAGTCAATAGATCGCAAGATTGAGAGAATATTAAGATGGTTTTGGGGAAGAAGAAGAAGGCAGGGTTGTTGTTGATATAGATTCGCTACCTGGAACAAAAAGTTCCAAGTAGCACGGGCTATGGTGAGCCCGTAGTTCTCCCTTATGCAGGGAACGTTGTTGTGGTTTTAGATTCAGCTACTGAGAACAAAAGTTCCAAAGTAGCACGGGCTATGGTGAGCCCGTAGTGGACTTACCTGACACAAGGAGCGGAGCTGTAACTGGAAGGGAAGGTGGTCAGACATGCTGAGTGTGTGACGAGGCGGGGAATGAGTGTGATGCAGCAAAGAATGAGTGTGTTAGGAAGCTGGAAGTGTGGATAACACTTGGAATATGGACAGGAACCAGACTGGATCGAAGCGTTTTCCTGATAAATGGAAGAGAATACGATTGTATATGATATATGATATATAACGTACTATCAGAGGGCCTGACAGCTGAGTGAACACTGCTCGGGATTCGTAGTCCTAAGGTTCCGGGTTCGATCCCCGGTGGAGGCGGAAACAAATGTGCAGAGTTTCTTTAACGCTGTTGCACCTGTTCACCTAGTAGTAAATAGGTACCTGGGAGTTAAGACAGTTGCTATACGGGCTGCTTCCTAGGGGTGTGTAACAAAAAGGAGGCCTGGTTGAGGACCGGGCCGCGGGGACGCTAAGCCTCGAAATCATCTCAAGATAACCTCAAGAAGATATTCCACCAACACCACTATACACACCAGGTGTTGCGAGTGTGTCTCTCCCTCTCCCATCTCACCCTGGGACAGGAAGACAGTGGTTTCTACAGTGCACCTTAGAGCCCAATGTATGTATAATGCAGATTATACATAGAGAGATTATCCGCTCCTTCTGAAGATGTATTAATATACGAAAGTACTTAAGGAAATTCCTGTTTCAATTTTCCTCCGTGGTATGACACTGTCATAGTGCAGATTATATAGAAAAATTAGATCAATGCTATATACCGTATAGGCTTTCAGTTTATAGTATCCAAGGGTATATAATGAAAAGCTTAATAATTTCTTACCATTAGTTTATAAATTCATTGAAAACATACTGGAAAGTGAAATACTCAAACGCTGCAAATTTGTATTTAAGAGTGAATGTCTCCTTTAGACAGCTTGAACCATCCAGGTCCCTGATATCTACTTTAACCATGTTTACAAAATCCA